GGGAAGGCTTTATTAGCTGTTCATTAATTTTTCCATTTTTACCAAGTGAATGGCAAATGGTATACTTACAGATTCAGAAACATGGGAATAGAATCCAAGAAACTGAAAGGGAAGTCTATGAATCATAGCCTTCCCAGAAAGTGACAGTTCAACCTTTGGTGCAGAGAGAGACAATATTTACAACAATATAAACTCATCTTGCTAAATCTTTGTTCTTTTATCTGCCTTCCCAGTTAACAGATAATTCATGTCATTCGATGCTTTGCTTTACATTGAAAGTCCTTCTCTTGGTTCTTTTGAAGCTGTCTTCACAGATAATTTGAGCCTCAGGTTTCCTAGTAGTACTAAAGCATCATTTGCCTTTTTTACTGTATTGATAATTTCATTGATGGGCAAGAGCAGGTGGGTGAAATTGATGGTGCCTTACTATGACTCGAGGCAGTAACGCCAAACCATATGGTGGTAAGCTTTAATAGTAGTTAACTATAACATTAGTTATGTCATCTTTGTTGCCAAAGGCTTTAGTGAAAAAGAAAATCACAAGGTCGGCCTCTTAGCCTAATGGGTAGGGGAACAAGACCCCTCATGGCCAATTGCAGTTGGAATCCTGGCCTTAGTGACTTAAGGAACATGCCAGACATGTGGGCATGCATGCCCCAAATCCCAAGAGGATGGAGAGATGGAGGAGGAAGGATCGTGGCATAAGTGCTCCATTTAAGGGGTGCTTTCTCCTCCCTCCCTCTTGCTGGTGAATGCACACACCTGCTGGCAATTAAAGAAAATTAAAGAATACCATTGATGAGACTGTAAGAATTGTAAGTTGTATTGAATTTTCACCTTGAGTGCATAAATCTTTCTGACATCCCTAGCATGAAAAGCTGTTATTGAGGAAGCTCATCCCACTGCACAGTGAAGAAGATCAAAGTGAGCATGAAACTTAAACCAAAATAACTGACAGTAATACTACTGTGACAAAATTCAAACTTTCAAGAAAAAGTTACAGTTGTGGAAAACTTGTATCTGTCCCTTTGGACTTAACTGCCTCTTATTACTTAAAGACTTTTCTAATGGAACAGTTGTGATATTCATACACATTATTTTTTTGGATGTGGAATGAAATATTAGATCATCAGGAAAGTCATAACGTATTTTTCTATGCAAGAATGTGTCATGGCTTTCTTGACCTAATACCCAATATATCATGTTAGAAAATCATGCATGTGGGACCAGCAGTTGGCGTAATGGCTGTGTCGCTGGATTCCCACGTCGTCTACCGCGGTTCGAGTCCCGGACCCGGTGGCTTAAACTCACGCCGGGCGTGTGTGTGTGCGTGCCCAGGATCCCGAGGGGAGAATGGAGGAGAAGGGATTGCGGCGTGGCCATCCCCCCTGGGGGATGATTTCTCGCTTTCTGTCTCTCTGTCTCTCTCTGTCTGTCTGGTGAGCGCACGCGCCCTATAGCAAAAACCTCTCAAAAAAAAAAAAAAAGAAAATCATGCATGCATAAAAACATTGTGATAGAGCAGTAGATTCGAATGCAGTAGGTAAATTGTCTTGATGTATTTCAGATTTCATGGTGCAGTTTAACATTTTTTTGGGTTTTTTTTGAGAGGTTTTTGCTATAGGGCGTGTGCGCTCGCCAGACAGACCGAGAGACATAGAGACAGAAAGCGAGAAATCACCCCCCAGGGGGGATGGTCACGCCACAATCCCTTCTCCTCCATTCTCCTCTCGGGATCTTGGGCACGCACGCACACGCGCCATGCGTGAGTTTTAAGCCACCAGGTCTGGGACGCGAACCGCGGTCGACTCTGTGGGAGTCCAGCGACATAGCCATTACGCTAACTGCTGGTTTCCCATACAGTTTAACTTTTAAGAAACTATTATTCATCAAGTTTTGATATAGTAAAGAATAATATCCACTTATATGATAAGGTTTTAAATAAAAATCATTCCTCCTACCCAACTCCGTAGCTGTAGGAGGTAAGTTTTTGTCTTACACTTTAACTGAAGTATGCTGTAACTGCTTCAGGGCAGAAGAAGCAGAAGTGAGAGTTCTGCTGTCTGCTCTTTAGTAGGACAGAAAGGGCTTATAGTTATGTAAATGGTGCCACTTCTCTCAATGTTTTTCTTATGTGAGGAGGCACATACAGGTGTGTGTGTTGGGGGGCGAGCAGGCTAGCAAGCCAGCACCCCCAGTGGGGCCTGGTCCCACTGCAGTCCTTTTTCCTTTCATTTTTATCCCGTCAGATCCTGGGTATACACAGGGGCCCCCAGAATTCCTTCCAAGTTGCAGGGCCAAGTTTTGAACTCTGGTTGGCCATGGGGAATCCAGCTTCCTTTGTGTACTGCTGAACTGCTGGGCTATGGGGCCAACCCAGTCATTTTGTTATTTCCATACTTTTAAATTTATGATCGAGAACATGTGTGTATGGGTGCACAAGTGTGTGAAAGAGAGGAGGTGAAGGGGAGAGAGAAGCAGCACCCCGGCAGGGGCTCGTCACACTGTACCTTGGCCCTCCAGGCCATCAGAATCTTAGGCACACGCATATACCTGGCAGGTTTTCCGCTTTTGCTTTCAAGCTGACCTAGGGATCTGAACCCATGGCTGGAATGTGGCTTCTAGTGCTGCAGTTCAGTTTGCTACTGACTGCCACGAAACTGGGCCATCTGTGATTTTTATTATTTGGGAAAATACAGTTTTTACATGAAAATTTATGAATACATACTTATGTGAAGTATCTTGATATTTTAAAATGAATTGATGATTAAATATTTTTTAATTTTCTTTTTTTGAGAGAGAGAGAGCTTTTTGCTGTAGGGTATGTGCACTCACTGGAAAGACAGAGACAGAGAGACAGAAAGCGAGAAATAACCCCCAGGAGAATGGCCATGCCCAATCCCTCCTCCATTCTACCCTTGGGATTTTGAGTGTGCACCACACACGTGCCTAGCATGAGTTTTAAGTCACTAGGTCTGGAACTCAAATCACAGTTAGCTACTTGGGCGTCCAGCAACATAGTCATCATGCTAGCTCCTGGTCCCCAAATTTTCTTCGTTATAATTTCTAGAGGAGTAAGTTTCAGTAAATAAAATCCACATAAACAAAGTGTTTTGTGGTCTTCAGTAATTTTTAAGAGTAAATGGAACTTATAACCAGAAAGTTTGAGACACTCGATAGTAGCAGTCGACTGCCTGGGAGGACAGCTGGTCTGAGGAAAGACCGTGTGATTTATGGTTGGCAGCCAGATGCAAACTCAGGACTGCTATTTCCTGGTAGTAAATTCTTTAATTTCACTGAGCAAGGTTGAATCTCTCTTGCACGCGATTTCTTCATTTATAAAAGGAGATAATAAGTATATTTTGTTGGCAGTTAAGTAGTTATTTAATACTGTCTTTTTAATTTTTTTCATTACGTGTTATGACTGACAGGCATCATTCCCTCAAATCATTCCTTAAAAAGAGGTTGTGCAATTTATTTCCTGTCCATATGGCTTTTTTTTTTTTTTTTTATCACCAGAGAGAGAGGGAGAAGATACCTCCCATGGCCCATGGTCATGCCACAGTTCCTTCTCTTACATATTCACCATCCTGTTGGGACTCTGGACGCACACAACATTTACTTGACATGTTTTTCAAGCCACCAGAGCCGGGATTCAGATTGCAGTCAGCAATGTGGGATCTGGCTCTCTTCATCACTGTGCTATGGGTTCGAATGGACAAAATACTCTCTTTTTTTTAATGTCTAAAACTTTCCCTTTATACACATTTTCAAGTGTATGTGTAAACTTAAGGTTTCACAATTAGAAAGGCAGTAAAACTTAATTCAGAACATTTACTTAGGCATGAGACAGATGGTAATCCTATAAAAAGATGGCATATTTTTTTGGAAGTGCAAACAGAAAAACAGATACTCTTAAAAATTCCAGAGTAATCTTTGCCTAGAAGATGAAGAGAGAGGTAAAAGACCATATGGCCTAATAGAACTTTTTATAGTTTCTAATGTGGAGGATCAGATTCCGCTTCTTTAATATTAGTATTAATATTCTGCCATTCTCTTGTTCTCCATGGTCTAGATGTGATGGGGGAGCAGATCCACTTGAACCTCAAACCTGGTGGGGTTAGTCTTACGTGTATATATTTTGCCATCTTAGAAACACTTATTTTGACATCAGGACAATTATATAAATATGTATATATCTTACCATTGGATGGAAGTCAGGGTATTTAGTGAGTTCATCTAATACACAACTTAATGTTTAAAAGTAACTAGTACCCCAAATATTTTGTTTTATTTACAGTGTATTCCAAAACTAGTGGTAAAATGTACTTATTGTATGTGATAGTAGGACTTTTTCTTTTTATTATAATTTTTGATTTTTTAGCTGTAGGGTGCCTGTGCTGGGTGGAGAGACAGGGAAAGTGAGGAAGCACTCGGGAGATGGCCGTGCCGCAGTCCCCTCTCTTCCACTTTCCTCCTGGGATCTTGGGCACACACGCATGGGCACCCAGTGTGGTTTTCAAGCTGCCGGGTCCCGGACTGAGACTGCCGTTGACCTTGTGGGAGCCAGCTGCCTTCACCACCACCACCACTGACTCCACAGGGCATGTTCCTTAAACGTCTGCCGGATGCTCACTGTGTAGCAGGCCTTGGTCTCTGCTGAGTGAAGTAGAAAGACATCCCTGCCCTAATAGAGCCAACATTCAGAAGCCAAAGGATTCGAACTGAGTCCGATAAAACATCTGTGAGGAAAAGTGTTTTTAAATGATTTACCAGAGGGTGTGTGTGTGTCCACCAGAGATGACTGAATGGGGGAAGTGAGAAAGAACCATCCCCCTGTTAGGATTTGGGCATACATGTGCACAGCTGCCCGTGTTTTTTCAAGCTGTAGGGGCTGGGACTTGAACTGTGGCCAAGCATGCGGGAATTCATCACCTTAACCACCGCGGTACCTGCTGGTCCTGGAAAATTTTTTAATGCAACTTTTTATCCCCCCACAGGAAATGGCTCCAAAGTTTAAATGAAGCTGGAAAAACACACAGATGCAGCATTGCAGCCTCTCCAGATGTTCGGGGATACTATTCCAGAGAGAAGGTGATCCCCTTGGATTAGGTCACTAGTCACAATGAAGAAAATTAGTCTTAAAACCTTCCGGAAATCTTTTAACCTGAATAAAAGTAAAGAAGAAACTGATTTCATGGTAGTCCAACAGCCCTCCCTGGCCGGCGACTTCGGAAAAGACGATTCCTTATTTGGTAGCTGCTATGGTAAAGAGGTGGCCAGCTGCGACCTCAACGGGGAGGACGACAAAGGAGGGAAAAGCAGGTCGAAGAGCGAGAGCCTGATGGGCACGCTGAAGCGGCGGCTCTCGGCCAAGCAGAAGCCCAAAGGCAAGGGCTGCGCGCCCGCGGGGAGCTCGGCCGACGAGGACGCCTTCTCCTCCTCCTCGGCGCCCGTGGTCTTCAAGGACGTGCGGGCGCAGCGGCCCATCCGGTCCACGTCCCTGCGCAGCCACCACTACAGCCCCACGCCCTGGCCCCTGCGCCCCACCAACTCAGAGGAGACGTGCATCAAGATGGAGGTGCGGGTCAAAGCCCTGGTGCACTCCTCCGGCCCCAGCCCGGCTCTCAACGGCGTCCGGAAGGACTTCCACGACCTGCAGTCGGAAAGCGGGTGCCCAGAGCAGACCAGCTCCCTGAAGGGGTCGGACTCTCCCGGCGGGGACCTGCGCCTTCACCTGGACGAACACGTGCCTGTCGTCCTCGGACTCGTGCCTCAGGACTACATCCAGTACACCGTGCCTTTAGACGAGGGGATGTACCCTCTGGAAGGACCGCGCAGCTATTGCCTGGACAGCTCTTCCCCCATGGAGGTGTCCGCCGTCCCTCCCCAGGTGGGGGGGAGCTCCTTCCCTGAAGACGAGAATCAGGTAGACCAGGACCTCGTCGTGGCCCCGGAGCTCTTCGTGGACCAGTCCGTGAACGGCTTGTTGATCGGGACCACGGGAGTCGTGTTGCAAAGCCCCCGAGGGAGTCATGAGGACGCCCCCCCACTCTCACCGTTGCTACCTCCAATGCAGAGTAATCCGATCCAAAGGAACTTCGGCGGACTCACCGGCACAGACGCCCACGTGGCGGAGAGCGTGCGCTGCCATTTGAATTTCGATCCTAACTCTGCTCCTGGGGTTGCAAGAGTTTACGACTCGGTGCAAAGCAGTGGCCCCATGGTCGTGACAAGCCTTACAGAGGAGCTGAAGAAGCTGGCCAAACAAGGATGGTACTGGGGCCCCATCACACGCTGGGAGGCGGAAGGGAAGCTGGCCAACGTGCCCGACGGGTCTTTTCTTGTTCGGGACAGTTCCGATGACCGTTACCTTTTAAGCTTGAGCTTTCGCTCCCACGGCAAAACACTTCACACCAGGATTGAGCACTCCAATGGTAGGTTTAGCTTTTACGAACAGCCGGATGTGGAGGGACACACGTCCATAGTTGACCTAATTGAACATTCGATCAGGGACTCTGAAAATGGAGCTTTTTGTTATTCAAGGTCTCGGTTGCCTGGATCTGCAACTTACCCTGTCAGACTGACCAACCCGGTGTCACGGTTCATGCAGGTGCGGTCTTTGCAGTACCTGTGCCGCTTCGTTATACGTCAGTACACCAGGATAGACCTAATACAGAAACTGCCTTTGCCAAACAAAATGAAGGATTACTTACAGGAGAAGCACTACTGAAAGATTGACAACCCTGCATCTTGCACTTTGGGAATAACAAAAAGATTTGAAATACAGTTTACAAACTCATTGCCATCAAAATCTTTTGCTGCCATAACTTTTTCAGTTTTATGTGTTCAAGAGTCGATTTGTTTAGGGGGTGGGGAAATGTCTGAAAGATGTCCTGGGTTTATTTTGGTTCTTTAAAAAGGGAAGTCTTGAAGTCTTAAGTGTGAATTACCGTTCTTCAATGTGTGGAATAATCACAATGTGAATGATCAGATTCTCCTTACCATACCCACCCTAGTCCCTTGCTGCTATCCACTGTGATTTTTATGCATTCAAAGCACATTTCATGTGTATTCAGCCCTAAGTAAAGTTGGATGAAACTTACAGAATGAAAATCGCTGTGTCTTTTTAAATGGCCCATTCTCAAAAGGTATTGCTACCTGTGTTATATAACACAGAATTTACGTCTACACTGAAAATTATTTTTTTAAATCTCATCCTTTAAAAAGATTTATTTAGAATTTGGGATTGACGTGATCTTGGGTAATGGAGTATAGATCTGCAACATATCTTTTTACAACACTCTTTTTTAAATTATTTTTAAGGTTGCGCTAATTTTTTTTTGTTGTTGCAAAAAGTTGATGTTTCTGTTGCCTTCCTTTTCATCTTGTGGTTTGTCTATTTTAATAAATGGCCTTACATTTAAAAATTGTAACAAAATGTATACCACCAATGTAGAAATTGTTGCCTTTTCTGTCATTAAACTCGGGTACAAATTGGCATAACATATAAAGACCTATGGAGTTAGAACTATTATTAAAGAAATAGTAGATGATCATAGCTTCTTGTGATAGCATTTTTTTGTGTGTGTTATCAGATACTTTCCCTTGGTAAAATGTTCTTTTGTCTGTGATTGCTTTAGCCTACTTAACATTTTCTTGGGTGCACTTGATTATATAACTAATTTTCATAAATGAACTGGATTCTCTTGCAATGTTAAAATTTATATAAAGTTTTAAATTGATTTTAATAGAAAGCATTGTTTTAAATAAAGTTGGCTTTATATTTTTATGTAGTTACTATTAAAACATTCTAGATTTGACCATTCCTTTGCCCCACTAAAAACAACCCTGAATGACTTCAGTTGGAAAATGGTGAACGTTGTGAAACACAATGTGAGAAAAATACTCAGACTGCGTCAGATGTACGGAAGTCTTATTGCCAACCATATAAACTGCCATTTTAAAAATAGGTTTTTCTATTTCTTCTTTTTAACGTTAGTAAATCTAGGTAATCTGGCATCACTAGTTATTTTATCTCTTTGAGTCATTTGTTGGGGGGAGGGATGCTATGTGGAAATGCAGTGTTTATTCATTTCATAAATCTGCAATGTAGCATTTTAGCATCACCCAGTCTAGAAAATGTTTCCAGCTACACAGCTTTAAAGGAAAATGGTTTCATCCCATCTCAGATGAAACCGTAATTTGAGATCCTTCTTTGTAGCTTAAAGGTTCCCCATCAGTTTACCCTTTCCAAACAGGAGGGTAGAAAGGTCTTACTGGCTTGGTCTTCAAACATGTCTGTATCCTCACTTTTCTATTTGTTTTTTAGGGTCAAAGTTGAGATATTACTAAGAAAAGGCACAGTTCATAATATCATGGTGTTATACTCTTTTAAAGGGGGAAAGGTACTTAATTTTGGTGGTTTGTTGATTGTACCTTGTTACAGAGACTCTTTCATTTTCTGATACTGTTTTCACCTAAAAAGATGGAATATAGAGTATACTGTAATATAATTTAAGTGTTCACTATAAGCTATTTGGATTAAGAACTAGTACAGAGTTGTAAGCTTGTTATCAAATTAATGCAAGACATTTAAACTATTTTTTTGCAAAACTATTTATTTTTAAACAACTTAAAATATATCTAGGGTGAGTTGAAAGTCCCTGTGCATCTATATTAGATGACAGGTATTGTCACAGCGTCACTATGGATTAATAATAAATGTCGAAATGGCTTCTCTGTGTCTCCAGAGGCATTCGTACGCCCTCCTCCTGAGAGCGTGGTGCACGAGGGCTTTGGACTGCCCTGACCTGTCTTGCGTGGACATTGCCTCTTCCCTGTGTCTTCTTGTGCCATGTGTTTAAGATCTAACTGTTGAGTGTTAGGATTGTTTTGATTTTCATCTGTTTTTCAGATTGTGTTTTGTGTTTCAGTGGAGGGCAAGTCTTGATACTGTCTAATTCAGAAAGCCAATTTTTTACATGATTTTGCGTATTTGTGGCATAAGAAATGTTACTATGCCATATTCTAATCCACATGGAAATTTCTAGGTTCTGCTTGTGTTTCAATAAAAATCAAAAGTATTTTCCAAGAAATTAAATTTATAAGCAGAAAGGTATACTGCAGTGCGTTCCGCCTTTCTGCAGAGAAAGATCCATTTGTTGTTGTAGCACAGTCTAATGTGGAAGATTGGCTTTATGCGATGCTAAAACAGTCTTGTTAAAAGTGGAAAGGGGGAAGAAGAGC